CATGGTAATCTTTCAGAAAGTACACATAATACATTATATGTTAAAAAAAAAAAAAGACAGTAGGAAGGGAAAAATGAAGGGGGGAAATCGGAGGGGCAGATGAACCATGAGAGACTATGGACTCAGAAACAAACTGAGGGTTCTGGAGGGGAGGGGGGTGGAGGGCTTGGTGATGGGTATTAAAGAGGGCATGGCATGTATTGAATGGAGCACTGGGTGTTATACACAAACAGTGAATCATGGAACACTACATCAAGAACTAATGATATAATGTATGGTGATTAACATAACAATAAAAAGATACCTTACAAATAAAAAAAAGTACACATAAAACAATCATAACAATGTATTGTCTGCTTGGTATAATTCTTCAGAATTTACAATAAGAAGTAAGAGGAAAATACTGCTGAAAACAGATCTTGTATTAAATATGGGCCAAATTCAGTTTATAAAAATTTGCCATCAATTATGTTTTATATGTTTAGTTCATTCACATTATAGAATTAGTTTGGTTTGTTTATAGAGAAAAATTTAATCCTTCTTATCAGTGAACCTAGAAACCATAGAATCTCTGAGCCCTTGAGATATTTGTACCCTGCTACAACTGTCCAGCTTTTTTATTTATATCCCCCACTCATTTATTCCTTCTCACGTTATTTTGAAGGAAATTTACCAGACATAATATCCTTTTTATCCATAAATTTTATTGTGTCTTTCTAAAAGATATCAACTGTTGCTTAAAACATAATCTCATTATCACAACAAAAATATTAATAAAAACATTGTCAAACATCTGACTACTTTTCAAATTCCAGTGATCTCATAAATATTGTAACTTTCCTCTTTATTTTGAATCTGTATTTAAGAAGAATTACACATTGCAGATGATTGAATTGACTCTTAACACTATTTTTAATTTATAGATTCCCCTTCTATCTCTTTTTATCCATTAAATTTTTAAATTTTATTTAATTTTTTAAGTAGGCTACTTGCCCAGCGTGGAGCCCACCGTGGGGCTTGAACTCACAATCCTGAGATCAAGACCTGTACGTGTAACTGACTGAGCCACCCTGATGCCCCCTTGGAATTTATTTTTTAAACAAAATGAGTCATTTTTCTTGTAGAGTTACCTTATTCATTCACTGCATCTCTTTAGTGTTATTTAACACGTTCCTCTCTCTGCATATGGCAATTTGATCTATAGGCTTGATCAGATTTATATTAATTTTTATTACCAAGACTGCAGGTGGTTTTGTGTTTTATCTGGGAATGCATGTTGGTTTGTTAAAGAACTATGTTACTAGCAGTTCAGTACTATATTAATGATCTCAGTATAGTAATGATTTCAAAATTGTGATATTCTAACATTCTCTTTTTTTTTTATTAGCTTGAATACTTCTGTAGTGATTTTCTTATCTATTGTTTGATTACCTAGTGGTAAAGTTTATATAAGAAAGGGTAGATAAATTCTTGGCTTACTAGTGTTCCCCAATAGTGATAGAATTAGTTTTTTAAAAATTTTATTGTCGGGACGCCTGGGTGGCTCAGTCAGTTAAGCGTCTGCCTTCGGCTCAGGTCATGATCCCAGGGTCCTGGGATCGAGTCCTGCATTGGGCTCCTTGCTGGGCGGGGAGCCTGCTTCTCCCTCTGCCTGCCTCTGTCTCTCTCTCTCTCTGATAAATAAATAAAATCTTTATAAAAAAACCTTATTGTCATTATAAACTCAATAATTTAAACATATAGTGTGTCTTACAATATATTTCAGTTACTATCCTTATTTGATCATATTCTTTTATGTTTAGCTGGTGGGGGACTTTTCAAGTTGTCTCCTGAGTCCTTTCTGAGTCTCTTTGATAGTTCCTCAGTACTGATAGTTAATACAAAACTTCTACTAAGAACACGTGTTATTGGATTATATTGTACATTTCTTGTCCCAGAGCTGGAGTCAGCCATATATCCACGGAGTCCTATATTTTTAGTAAGAAATGGTACTTGGACCCATAGGGTAGGTGCTGGGAGTACTCATTGCTACTGGGTTTCCTGTTATTTCTACCCTTTTCAATGGGCAAAACTAGGAAATACACAAACACACATTTTTTTAAAGATAAAGCTCTTTGTATCCTTGTACTGACACTTCCAATGCAAATTCTGAACTGAAGGGCTTTTTATTTAACCTATTTTGTCTTTCATCTTTATCTTTAGTCTCATATGGTGAGAATTCTGTTCTCAGAGACTCTGTAACAGTATACAGATAGCATTTACCTAAGTTCAATTTGAGTATTAAAAAAAATTTTAAGGGGCGCCTGGGTGGCTCAGTTGGTTAAGCGTCTGGCTCTTGATTTTGGCTCAGGTCGTGATCTCAGGGATCATGGGGATCAAGCCACATCCTGGCTCTCCACTTAGCGGGGAGTCTGCTTGTCTCCCTCTCCTTTCATCCCTCCCCCCACTCATGCGCACGTGCATGCTCTCTCTCTTCCTCTCCCTCTCTGTAAAATAAAATAAATAAATCTTTAAAAAAATAAAAATAAAAAAATTTTAAATATAAAAATGTAAGAAACCTCCTAGGTCTCTTGTTTCTTTTCATTCATGAAAGTAGGAAGGATCACTAAACACTTGAAAGTGTAGCCCTTTAGGACACTTGCTAGTTTGAGTGGTCCCTGGCCCAGCCTTATTTTCTATCCCTCTTGTACTTCATGGCCATGAAAACTGAGCCCAAGTATGCAGTGTGGATAAATGCCCTCGGGTTCAAAAATAGCTTTATTGTTCTTAAGCCATACTTCTCTGTTTGGCTATAGTATTTTGTATTTTGTGGATCATGTAGGTAGGAAAGGAGTCTCTATCCTTGGGTTATTTCTAATTTACTTAGAAACACAAAAAATAGGTGGTCAGACAACTTGTGACCATGATTTCTCACTTTCTCCAGATAGACCCTTGATGTTTCTGCCTTCTCTCCTGTATTCTTCCTCTTTCTCCTCTTTCAGCTTATAAAATCATGTTCCCCAAATAAGCCCAGCTCAGATGTCATCTGTTCTATGAAACATTCTTTTATTCCATAGCCAAATTATCTACCCCACCTTTGTAACATCCTAGGTCATGTTTAGTCATTCCATTTAAGTACTTAATATGTAATAATTTTGTATTAAAATTAATTGAAAATGTAGAGGATAATTCTAATAAAGAATACTTCTACTAGATTGTGATGCTCACTGCTATGTCTTACTCATTTTCATGCCTCATGATTTGTGTTTTCACAAAACATTTGTATTTTGGTTGCATTTGTGACCAAATACTTGAATTGTTACAAGCTAAAGAAGGACAGCTGTAGAGTTTAATGTGTAAATCATGTGTCACTTCCAAATAAAGGCCAGATGATGTCATGTCAGAAAGGTTTCACTCAAATAATTTTTAAAAATGTGATAAGTGAATTAAGTTGTCACACAGCACACATGTTGGAATAGACTTGGCAACCTGAAATGATATGCCACCGTATCAGTCAATACTGTATTATATTTACAGAACTTAATTTCAGCAAAACTTTATCTGCTGTTAAATTAATATTTTAAAGTTTTGATTTTGCGATTATTTTACTTCATTTATAAATGTATTTTGGTTTTATAATTACATATGCAGGAGGCATGTATACTCAATGTTATATTTGTAAAACATCATTATATAAGTCAATATCATCAATTTGGTAAAACTTTTTCTTTTAAATGGATTTGTATCTTACTCAAGCAGGAGAAATACTGATATAGACTAAAGAATATTATACAGGTCAGAGGCAAAAGAAATCAGTGTCAGATGCCAATTTGGATTATGACTGTGTCTGGAATGTATCATAATAATGATTTTTAATTCATTAGGACAACTAGCCTTTTGTCAAATAATCTAGAATTAATTTTGTCTAGGTCTTGAATCAGTATGCATATTTATTTATTGGTTGTTACTTAAATATGCTAATTTTTTAGGTTTATTTATTTTTTTAAATAATCTCTACATCCAACACGGGGCTGAAACTCATGACCCCAAGATCAAGAGTTGCATGCTCTATCCAACTGAGCCAGCCAGGCAGTCTTTAAATATTCTAATTTAAAAATAGATGACTTAAGGAGAGATTTTTAACTTTTTCCTGGAAGATGGGTTTAGTACTGTATTCCTTTAGCTAATCCCCTAGATATCTTCTTATGGTCCTGAATGACAACACATCACTTTATATCTTGTACAATTATTGTGTAAAATGTTTGATATATTTATATGAAGATCTTGGATTCAAATGGCATGGTACTTCAATTATTTTTTTCAAAATAGATGCCCATTTATGCTTTTATTTATAATTTATTTTTTTAAATTTTCATATATTCCCAGTAGGTCAGAATATCATTTCATATGTTTGTTATCACTTGTTTTACTTAAAAATAAGGTTTAGTCAAAATAGAAATTAAAAACACTTGTTTCCTTAGTTGTTTCCAAACCTTATAGCACTCTATAGTTATTACTTTTTTCCTTACACAATTGTTTTCTTTAGATGTTTCTAAAAATCTAAAAAACCTCTTACTGTATATTTTATGATAATTGTTATTTTTTAAAAACTCAATAAAAAATCATCACAGAATATCATATTGTGGTTTACGTAGAACCCCATTTGATTTTTAGAAGCATGCTTTTATTCAGCCAAAAGATATGTAATAAAAACTGTTTGATTAGTGAAGAAAACATTTTTCAATGTAGTTTGACCTTAATTTTATGAAAAAATAAGTATTTTTCTAATTTTATGGTAATATTTAGATTAATAAAAGACAAACAATTGCAATTGAATTGCCAGACTACTATAAACATATGTTCGTGTTCATCATTACTTTTAACTTACTATTCTTGTTGCAAAAGATACCTTGTCTTTTAGAGAATGCAGTGGTATTATTTACATTAATTCATGTGGCTTGTTTAGAAAAAAAAAAAATGCTATAACTCCTTTACTTAATGGGATTCTTCCCCTGTGGCAGTGCAAACGGCTAGAGCAGGAGCTTCATCATCTGAAAGAGCAGAACCAGACTTCAGCAAACAACATGAGACATCTGACTGCTGAAAACAATCAGGAACGTGCTCTGAAGGTAAATCTCCATTCCTTCTTCCAAGCAAATTAAGGTTGTAAGCCCGTGGTGCCAGCTTTCTGTGCTGCATATATCAGTTGTGTACATTTCAGCAGAAGTGAGCTGTGGTGTTTGCCAACAACCCCTTCTTTAAACACAGATACAGCACCCTTCTGTTATGGTATTATTTTATTTCGTGTATGTATACATGAAAACAACGTATTTTCTGCATTTTGAGTGGTGGCATATTAATACTTTGGGTATGTGTTCATTCTGTTTCTGATTTTATGGTATACTGTTATCTTTTGTAGTTAGTAAAAATTGGCCACACTAAAAGGGAAAAAAATTAAACCATGAGCCTTTTCTTCACATCAATATTTATTACACTAATCTTGTGGTATTATTAACCCACAGAACTGACACTCCCTGAAGGGTATGTGAATATGTTTGCGAATTGAAATAGTTCTTAAAATGTTACTTATTACAAGAAAAGAAAGAAAATATAGTCTACCAGAACTTGAAACAAGTGAAGTGTATGTTTCATGACAAGAGGTTCTGTTTCATTGTAATAGAGATCCAATAATCACGAAGAAGAATGTCACTTTGATTCTACTACTTACATATTTTTTCTTATGGTACTTAGGACTTTCCATTCTCCTTCTTTGTCTTTGTCTCGCTTCCTAGCATAGCACCTGTGACATAGTAGTGGTTCCTGCCCTCAAGGTGCTTACTTTCTCATTAACTGGTTAAAAATAAAAACAAAATCATATGCCCAGGAAACAGAAAAGATTCATCCTTATTGCAATTGTTCAGTAAGACAAAATGTGCTATCAAGAATACTGTACTTTGTTGTCTTAAATTCATTTTTGCTACGAATTAATATTATGGCATTAGCAGTGCAACTCACTAAACCAGAATTATCTACCAAAAGTGAGAAAAATGGTGACATTTTGAAGTGGAAAATATGTTTCGTCTATCCAAAAAGTGTGAAGTTTTGTTGAAGTCAGATTTTTCTACAAATGTGTTTAGCTTCATTTTGAAATTTTCAGTAAGTAGTTAGGAATTTGTAGTAACTTTGTTGTCATTGTTTAATGCACGTTCTCTTCATTTCTCTCAAATTTATAGATCAGAAAATAAAGTGGAAAGAAAAGAAATGTAGATTCTTGATCACTTTTTAATTACCCCAAGGAATTTGCCATATGATTAAAATTTAGTATAATAATTTTTTCAAATGTATACTTGCAGATCGATAGTAACTTTGTTTTAAAGGCAGCTTCCATTATATGTGCCAATTTATTATTAGCATCAGGGACAGATTTCATGTGCTATATGTGACATGGCTATCTCCATGTAAAACAGACCTAGAATTAAAATTCTAGTTTGTTGAGTACATCATAATACCACAGTCCTTATTCTGGCTTTCTTTGTTGTGTATTTGTGTTAAACTGAATTAAATGTCACCTGCTATTTATGGAGAGAAAGAAATGCACATTTCTAAGAGGTTATTAAAATTAGAAGGTTAGATATAGACCAAAAAAACGGGAAGTTCAAAACCAAACCAAACAAAATCCCTATAAAATAGAAATCTCTATGAACTATAGACTATATAAAACAATATATAAACAAAGCTACATTTTTAATCCTGACAAATATACTATGTTAAAATCTTTTCTAGTTTCTCACCTTTTTCTGCATAAGTGTCAGATTTTTCTGTTGTCTTTTAATCTTTCATACCTTCATCCATTCACTAACCAACTTAAGTTTTTTGTAGAGTTAGGATAGGAGGAAGAATTTTTAAAGACTCATCAATTTAATCTTTTTAAAGCTCCAGTGTTCATTTTCACTCTTTTAAAAATGTCTGTCTTGTATAATACTGGCTTCGAATCATTTTTTATGCTATCCTTCCTCATGAGAAACCTTAAATTTATTATATATTTATATCTGCTTTATTCTGAATCATTTTTTAAAAATTATTCTTACCTTCCAGGGATGATGTTCTTTCTTTATTTGGTGTTTTGGTTACTGCACACTGTGTCTTCAAGTTGCCATATAAGTTATGAATAATAAGTATATTACCAAGCTATCTGATGAATCAACTTTTCGTCTCCTTTCTCAGCAGTATGCCTGTCTTTTACAGTCCACCTACAGGTATCATTTTTTTGTTAACTCATTCAATATTTAGTTAGTATCTAAATAAGCTTTAGGAAGAAATTTTAAAAAGAGTCAATGTCTCTAGGAGCTTTCAGTCAGTCAAGAATACTTCTAGTATTTTATCATAAATAGTACTATTATTGATATCAGTTAAAAGTAAATTTGACTAGGATAAGAGCTGAAAAATTAATGCTTTATTTAATTGTGTAATATTGAAATTCATGAAACAGTACTAGAGATATGTTTGGGAAAAATCCAAGTTAATGATTATATATTATATAGAACTTTCCAATTAATTATGGCAAATACATGATCATACAAGGAAATACTTTTTAATATTATAGTGCTGTTCAAATAATAAATCTTTGTTTACTCTAATAACCTGGAAATCCTAAATTATTTTTTATGTGGAACATAAAATCAGATTTTTGGTGATCATAATGAGCATTATTTTTGAAGTAGCATGGAATTATACTAGCTAAATTTGCTAGCATGGCATTTTTTTCCCCTACTTTTATAATGTTTGCAGTTTTCCCTAATAACAAGTAAAACACAGTGGTACCTATAGGATGAAGGGCTAAATTTATACTAATACTAGTCTGTACCTTGAGAGTTACTTTAAAAAAAAAAAAAGAGAGCTTATCATCTCATTTAAAATAAATTTTACCTATTTATGTTAAGAAATTGGTTTCTTGAAGAACACACTTTTGGACATTTAATGTTTTTAAATAAGTTTACATTAACCATAAATATGCAGACATCAGACTTAAGAAATTTCACATATACTGCCTTTTTTCCCTCTTTCATTTTATTTATTTATCATCTTTATCGTATATCTTTAACTTCCTACAGTTGAGCTTCTCCACTGTAATTCCATTGAAAGCCCTTCATTCTTAGATTATAAGTGGCATCTGATGATTAAACTTGTGAAACTTATTCCCTATCCTACTCAGTATCCCAGTCAATGTAACTAGAATACATTTCCATTTTGTTGGCCCTGCCCTTTTGAAAACTTTCCTATAATTCTCTATTGCTATATCCTCATCATTTTTTTCTTTGATTGCTCTTCTTTAGCTGGTGCCTCCTTTTCTACCTATTCCCAAGTTATGTGATTAGTCCCTTATTATTCTTTAAAAAAAAAAACCAAAAAATTTTTTTAGAGCAGTTGTAGATTCACCACAGTAGAATTGAGCAGAGAGTGCAGAGTTCCCACATACCTCCTGCCTTCACACATGTACATGCCCCGGTGCCCAACACCAGAGTGGTATATTTGTTACAGTTCACAGATCTGTATCAGTGTAACCCACAGTCCATAGTTCACAGTAACCTATGCATTCTAATGTACATGACACATATCTACCATTGTAGTATTATACAGAAGAGTTTCACTCTAAAAATCCTCTGTGTTCTACCTCTTTATTTTTCTCTCCTCCTAATACTTGCCGGCCATTAATCTTTTTACTGTTTCCATAGTTTTGCCTTTTCCAGAATGTCATATAGTTGGAATCATACAGTATGTATTCATTTAAACTTTCATCATACCTTTTGATGGCTGTGCAGCTCATTTGTTTTAATGTCTAGTATTCCATTTTCTGGGTGTACACAGTTTATTTATTCACCTACTGAAGGATATCTTGGTTGCTTCCAGATTTGGGCAGTTATGAATAAAGTTGCTGTGAACATCCATTTGCAGAATTTTTTGGACATATATTTTTCAACTCCTTTGGATAGATACCAAGGACTGCAGTTGCTGGATTGTATGATAAGAATATACTTAGTTTTGTAAGAAACTACCAAACTATCTTCCAAAGTAGCTGTGCCATTTTTCATTCCTTCCAGTAATGAATGAGTTTTTGTTGTTTCACTTTCGCATCAGCATTGGGAGTTTCTTTTATTGTAGGCTTGTTTGTTCTAATTTCATCCATTCCTACAGTATCACCTATTATTTATGTCCTAATGACTACCTTCTGCCCTTCCACTTAGATCTTAATGTTTCCTTAACCTCAACAAGTTTGAAAACAAATTGCTAATTTGACTCCCTAAGCCTTTTCTCCGTGGAAAGAAGTCAGGACCTGAGACTAACACTATTGACTGTATAACTTAACATTTATTCCCAATCATATTCTCCTTTGTTTGTCTTTACTATAAAAGCAGGAGAAGTTAAACACTTTCTTAGCCTTTCTTTTTACCAGTGTGACATAAGAGGAATTCTACAGCCAGGGAGAGAGAAGTTGGAGAGTCTCTGGAAAAGTTTTTGTTTCCCTCACATAGGACAGATGAAGCAGGCACCATTCCTTTTTTTCTTATTACCTTGAACACTTCCTTGCTGCCTGGAAGTGCAGCAGCCATTTTATAGCCATGAGGAAAACACCTGAGAGAAGCTGGCCATTAACATCAATTAAGCCCCTTAGCCAATGAGCTACTTTGAGAACATTAAGCACCCATACCCTGATTTCTTTTTCTGGTGATAGACATACCCTATATTTTAAATTGCTCCTAATAGTTTTCCATTATTTACTTCCAAATTGATCAGTTAATATCTATTAATCAATGATACTACCATGCTCCTTAGACATGTAGGCTAATATAGTTGACATAATTTTCGTATTCTTTTTTTAAGCTGTCATCCACCATAAAGCAGTGGGACATCCAGTATTGTCAATTCTGTAATGATGATTTCTCGCCCATTTTCCCGCCTGTTCTTATTATCTTACCTCTACCCTATGTTAGGTTCATGATCTAGACGATAATATTACAGACATACCTCATTTTATTGTGCTTTACTTTATTGCACTTCACAGATAATACATTTTCTGCAAATTGAAGGTTTGTGGCAAACGGATGCCAAGTAAGTCTATCGGAGCCATTTT